AATAAATTTGTCATAGGTAATATATATGATTAAGAGGGCGATGTAATTTGAGATGATTTTTGTATAAAAATCAGAGACTGTTATAAATCAAGGTTGTTATTGTTGTATCTAATATATAGGAGAAGTGATGATATCTATGCCTACAATGGGGGAATAAAAGTTTTCTCGCTCTTAAAATCTGATTTTATAATAAATTTAGCTTTCGAATCTTGGAAGTAGAATGCACACATGAGTTGATATATAGATAGTTCTGACACATGAACCATTTGCTAAATTGCTTCTAGTCAAACATTTGTACTATTACGAGCAGAAGGTGTCTATACTATAAAATTTACGACCATGTGAGAAAACCACCACACCTATATATGGTAGATGAGTTCATATCTTTCTCTCTCTCTGTCAGTGAACTCAATATAAACGTTGAGTCAATTCTTCAATATTGTTGTTTTTCTCTTCAGGATATAGATACATAGAAACAGGAAATGTTTATTGAGATTATTATCTCGCTAAATTCAATTTAAACCAGTTAGAGAGAGAGAAAATACGTTTTATAATATTTCTCTCTTATCACATTTTTTTTTCTAGTGTGTGAAGACTGATTTATCTTTAAGATTGTACAACTGTCAAGTGTATTTTCAATTTGACAATTGCATTTCAATATTTAACATAATATCATACAAAACCACAAATTGTTTTGAAATTTATGCATCAAGTTGTAGAAGATACTAAGATTTTTATTGACAAGAAGTATAAACTGTAAACGATGAGTGTTCGTAAAGGCCTTGTCAATGATCGATATATGCGTATCTATTCCTTCGTTGATTTGTTGATGATCTCTACACTCCGTAGGTATTCAATCACATTAACGATGTGAATTATGGTTGAAAAACATCAAGGGGAGTCTAGCCACTCTCCCCATCTCTCTAATGGAACTGATAGTGGTGTGTATTCAATTAATCGAAATAAGAATCTCATTCAATCACAAAAAAAATGATATTCACAGGTGTTAGAAAAAAAACGACGTTTTCGTCATCCTTAGAGATTTCTGTTTCACATTGTTCATATACAGTGCAGTCATAAAGATAGTACGATTTGTTATAGTGTAGTTATTTCTTCTAATTGATGAAATAGTCTTCGTCAGCTACAGCAGTACTCGACCTATATCTGAACATCTGACTATTGCGAGAAATTTAGTTTGTAAATGCGTATTTTCGCAAGCAGGTGATAAACCACATATATTCTTGTTGATCTGATAAAAGAGAGCTTTTTGGAAATAAATTTTTGCCGTTTTAGTTGGTTTCATTACTAAAACAGGAGGATATTTTCTTGATAAAAAAAAAAAGATTGGGTTGAAGCAAGACTTTGTCAATATTTCTGTATGAACTGAAACTTCAGAAAAAAAATTTTTGAATTCGGTGTCCTATTTTTGAACAAATCAGGCTATTAATTGATGTATGAGTAAACTTCGCGGGTTACTGATTAGCGAGCTATTTCTGAGGTTCAGATAAGTTCAGGTTTAAATGGAATGAGCTAGAACATACCCCTGAGTGTTTAATAACAACCTTATTGTTCTATGCCATAGTAAGATAATTCTTACCGAAACCGATTAGGATGTGTATGAATCATCGAAACTCAATGTTATACAGTGAATGATTGAGATTGAAAACTCAGGAAAATAGTGTACTCCAGTGTATTTCTCTTTAGTACGGTTTTCTTATTAATTTGTTTTTGTCTTTCAGACAAACTGTTACACAGATTATATTTTAATTACATAATTATCTAGCCCAAACTGCTCAGTACTTGGATAGACATATGAGAATTTTCCTGAAAATGACTACTACATCAAAAACATTCAAATGTAATTGTATTATTAATCGTAGTAATAAGACAAGTGATGCATGAACAAATAATAATGTAAGCGTTAAACTTCGTCTACAATCAATATTCTTCGAATTATACGTATCGAAAGAGAATGAAGAAAATAAATTATTCAAGAAATATAATATGAAATAAAAAGAAGTTTTAATTTTCCATCATTTTCTTTCCCTCAAAAACTTTTACATTACATGAGATTTTGCTTTTCGTGACAAGATTTTTATAAAATAAAATTTAATTGTCATGATTTCAATAGATGAATGAGGCGAAGGCTTATATAAATCCACAAATGTGTGTGTGTACGCACCAGTTTGGTCACGTAAATTTATATATAATTATATACCGTAGATTGAAGATTTTAAGTATACAGAATGACTTTCGATCATGAAAAAGGCGAATTGAAGTGAAGCATTACCTGTTCTTTCACCGCGGTCGTGTGCAATTGATACGAGCGCAAGAGAACCGCGATCATGAAAATTCGCGTCTTACTCCATGAATTCCATGTGGGGCTGTTTTTTAAAATACCGTCGGTATACCGCGCGGTTAACCGATGGTAACTAACTTATTAGATCGTGGCCTAAAAAAATATCGCACGGTAACCGTTCTTATCCATTCACCATAGTATTTTACACCAATGAAGATATAAAAGAAACAGAAAAATTCGAGGAATTTGACTTCTTTCTTTTAGATCATATACACCCGAGTCAAATTTCTCTCAATTGGGAGCCTGTCTGCGCTTACAAGTACTCAATAATAAAAAAAAGATAGTTGAAAATTAGTTTCAAACTCTTGTTCTACATGTTTATAAAAACAAAATACCGGATGGTACCGCTGGTTATACCGACGTATACAGTGACATACCGCGTGGTTACCGCCCGTATACCGGACGGTATTTCCGTTTACTACGACAGTATACACGGTAACCGTCGATATTTTGCCGGTATTAAGCACATGGAATCTTCAACAAACGCTTTAGACCTTCAGGGAGGGAATTTTTTAACCATTAAGACGGTGAAAAGAAAATTGATTTAGGAACGCTTTATTTTTCAACAGTTGAATCAAAAAGCTCTACATCGATAAACTATGTTTCTACACAGTAGCGCCTGATTTTCACAATTATGAGGAAAACTGATGACTTTTTGCGATGAGAGTGAGTCCCTGCCTGATATTCGCCACTGTAAAAGAAAGCAGGAAGATGCCTGAAAATCTGAACATCTATGTATCTGTACATCTAGATATCTGAAGAACGGAAGATATTAGCATCTGAATATCTAAATGTCTACGCATTTGAATATCAGAATACCTGAGTATCTGAACATCTAGATCAAGCATGGGTGAGACTCAAACCCGGACTGGAGATTTTTTGAAGGAGTCGGACTCGTGCTTGAGTTTTTGGATTTCGAGTCCGATCTGTTCAACTTTTAACACAAATGAACAGAGAAAAATGAAAAGAGAAATAACATCACCTCATGTTTCAGATGAAATTGAAACTTTTGTTCGGGAGACGGACATGCGAAGTAACCTTGTTTTCAAAAAATCAAATATCTATCCAGGGCTCAGTAAATTGAAAAAAGAGAAATAAATCACCCTCATAAAAAAAGAATCTAAAAGATTACCGTACTCGAAAGGAACTCGAGACTCGGACTCGAGTTCCTTAATGTTAATGTCCCTTAATGTTACGGACTCGGACTCGGCTTGAATTTTTAAGGTCTCGGTACCCCTCGGACTCGGCCATGCCTGATCTAGATATTATGTAATTGCAGATGTTCACAAATCAGACCGGTCTCTTTCCACATGCCAGACACAGTAGAAATCTTTCTTTTTCGGTTTCGCAACATTAGAGTTATGAAATATTTTTTATGTAAGTTAGAAAAATCCGTAACCAGTTCTTGAATCTCGAAACATCCTGTCAACACTCGTTTCAAAGTCTCATGTATTTAGAATATCCAACGTTTCACGTATAGTAGAGCGTCATTTGTAGAACACTGATGGTGTGATCTAGAAGCGCCCAGGTGTTTGAAATGTATTCCAGGAGATTCTGTGATCGATTACCCATTTTGCTACATCTTTGCTGATTAGATGATTGTATGTCTATAACTTATACTAAATTTTAGCATACACTGTATAGTTGACAGTGACATCTTACATACAACCAGTATTTATTTGCTACATAAACACATTACATTTTTCGTATATTAATTCTCTCTTTTCATTGGTTTATCCATAGTATATGTGACAGCCATCGTTTTATCTGAGCGCAGTCAGTCATAAGTGGAAAAAGCATGACCCCTTTTGATCAGCAGAGAAGCGAGACGCGTCCAGGTCGGATCGGATGCCCGTCGTACGTGCACGTCACGCTCTACACACAACGTACGCGCACGTCATGCCTATTTACTGCATATCATGCGCACCATGTACCATTTTTAGAGGTTTATCACAGATGTCGATAAACATGTTACTATGGAACTGTAGAGAGAGAAAATCAGGTCACACTCCGTCCGGACATCATGCATACACGTTCGTCATGCGTAACAATCGAAACGTACGTCACGCGTACAACGGATGTAGCACTTTGCCTGGGGCGTAGGGCAGTAAAAAAATTTAAAATCATATTAATATCAGGGACTTACGGCACCTAGGATGCCCGGACTACTTTGCTTCTCATTTTAAACGCAATAGCAATTCCGAAGCACAGTTAGTCCATGCAGATAACTGTCGTTCGTTCTTATTACTTTTCTGACGAAAAACCTATAAAAATCGACCACCATTTTGTTTTTCAATATAAGTCATATTTCTTAACAGGATCGGTTCGCAGTCGACAGCCATTGAATTATAAATTCTCATGTTTCTGGTATTTTAGATGATAATTAAATTTAGTAAGTGATACTTTTGAACGATAAGCACCTCATTATGTGTAAAGAAGGAAAAGTACTAAACCAAACAGATCATTCCTTTATTGAAGAACTACAAATGGTGTCATTATCTGAACTTCCTCTCGTTTATCAGTATGCTCAAGTTGTAGCCATATTACAGCACGAAACTGACAGTTTTCAGCGAGGAGCTCTTTTTATCTCAATTTTCTGTGTATTTCTTCTTCAGTGATTGGTAAATTTTGATTGTTCAATATGGCGTTGACACAAAATGATAACACAACGAAATTATGTGATAATGAAGCAAAATTAATGACAGTATCTAGCCCTGATACCGAAATCGTCAATGTGCAAGATGTAATGAGCATTTTTCTATATTGTTGAGCTAATTAAGAAAGTTAATATTGATTCTTCAAACATTAAAAAGTATTTTTCTGTAGCCGTGAGATTTAATAATGAGGAAAAGACATATTGAACAATAGTTTATATATATACTCATAAAATAGGATTGTTATAGTCAAACAATAAATCAAAGAAATACATGACACTGTCTCTAGAGATACGCGTGACCAAGATGTTTTGCTCATAGTATCGATTACGAGAATTTTTTTTCAAAAAGCCACGATGACATTGCCTATAACTACTTCGATCATTGAAGATATTCTAATCATCCCTGCAACGAACAAGTTGCATTGAGAGATTATTTTCCGCAAGTGGTAATACCGTTACTGGAAACAAACACGTTCATGTATGGTAAAATTAAAGAAGCGGATGACATAGCTGGAAACGAGAATAGGAGAATGCATATTAATGATGCAATACTAGAACATCATGATGACATTTTCTAATGAATGAGATGCCAAAAATGCGAGTTAGTCAAAAAGCAGTTTAAAAAAAGGACAAATTTGTAAATATATATTAACTTAGGAAATTTCTTCAAATTCTCTGTCACTACCACATAAATCATGATCAATACGTTTTTCGATAGTCACAGTCACACAGATCTCTATGTATGACACTTTATTTTCTGCAATTTGTGACAAGTTGAAGTTATTTTTAGAAGTCGTTTTCTTTGAACATTTTGTTTTTATTTGTAGGCATCAATTTATACTCCGTCAGCGATTGTACCCAGTACATTTTCTCCAACTCAAACAGATATTCCTGTTATTACGAATGTATCATCGACAACATCAACTGTTGTTCCAGCTGTCACTGGTATAACAAGCAATAGTTCAAGTAGATCAAGTTTAAATGATAGTCCAGATATTTGTCGAATATGTCATTGTGAAGGAAATGAAGAACCACTTATATCTCCATGTCATTGTATTGGGACAATGCAATATCTTCATCAATCATGTTTACAAGTAAGTCTGATAGTATGAAAGTGCAGAAAAAGTACTAGCTCAAGTTTTCAAGACTTTTTTTCTTATAAAAAAACTGATTGTATAACAGATTTATTTACTTCAAATATTTGTCGACTTTCAAAATCAAAATCACACAAGAATATGCTATGTCAATATCATAGATGCTGTCCGAGAAAATGTTAGTGTATTCCATGATTGTTTTCTATAGGGTTTCTAATGGTATGTTGTATCGCTATTGGAACGCTATTCGCTCGAATTTTAATGGAAACTAGCTTTGCTTAGAATTGCAGAATAAATAAATAGTTTCTAGTAAATGAAATAATTTCTTTGATTTGATAATTTTTGGATTATCTGATATTTTTCAATAGATTTAAACTCTATTTTTCAGCGTTGGATTAAAAGTGCAGGTGTTAAATCATGTGAATTATGTAAATTTGAGTTTATAATGCATGCTGAAATTAAACCGTTTAAACAGGTACCATTTACTCAATATTATTTAAGTTTTGAATATTCATTTTTTTTTTTTTGTATTTAGTGGCAAAAATTAGACATGAATGTTGTAGAACGTCGTAAAATAATGTGCTCTGTTGCATTTAATTTAATAGCTGTGACATGTGTTCTATGGTCATTACACGTTCTAATTGATAAAACAAGAGAAGAAGTTAAACTAGGAAAATTAGGTTAGTATAAATCGAGAATTGACATATGTTTAAGTAAAATGAATTGAAATACTATTTATTATTCTATTTCAGAATGGCAATTTTGGACAAAATTGATTGTAGTGGCAATCGGATTTACCGGTGGTTTGGTAAGTTTAATCAGAAGAAAACGAAACATATGATAGTTTCACATAAGTTGTTATTTTATTTTATTTAGGTATTTTTATATGTACAGTGTAAAATGTATTTACAAGTAAGTAAAATATTTATTGATAAAATGAAGATGAACCTAACTTATTTTTATTTCTATGTTTAGCTTTGTATTCGTTGGCGTCAATTTAATCAACGTATAATAATTCATTCAATAAGTGAACGTCAAGCAAAAAATTTTAATTCACCACCTGATCATACAACAAATTCTTATTCTTTTATAAATCAAAATAATGATGGTATAATAACTGTTCTAGATGCAAATAGTTTACCTCAGATAACATCATCTACAGCCAATATCGACAATGATTCATCAACAACATTTCATTCAGTATCTCTAACTGATGAACAACGACGACATAATCATACGGCTGTGACAAGACATAATAGACGACATCGTCCGACATTTTTTCGGCGTATATTTAGAAGGAGTAATTCACAAGAACAGCAATCAACAACAACCAGAACGCCAACGAATAGTCATGAACATAATCCATTGACATAAGACTGTTTAGAGTAAGTTTGCAGTTGTGATTAGTGGTAGAGCGTTACACGTTACAGTCAACAATAACAAAAAACTGTTACTGTTGTAGTAATGTTCCTAACCCTGATTGTCACTGTATATATATAAAAATACATATATATGTTGATTTTAGTATTAAAGGCCATTTTATGTACAGGCAAATAATTACATTCACATATTTATTTATTTTTTCCTCTACTTTTCTTTTATTATAATCAGTTTTCGTACACCCTCTTTAGCCACATTGTCTTCCAGATGCTTTCATATTTTAAGTTCGAATAGAACGGGACTTACACATTTTTCTGCTATTGTAATGCATAGAATATTTCTCTCTGCTATATTACTCTGATGATTTTCCAATGTTTTGGATTTAAACTAGAGTCGATAGAATGGATAGGTTTTCTTTCACAATTAACCATAAAAAAAACAGAAATCATAGGACTTTTTTTAATAAAAAAAAATTGAAAGTAATCTAGAAATGACAGAATATTATGTAGTTGAAGCGATTTGTCCAAAGTGCAAGAAAAAGACATGTAAAAGTGACATCTAAATTTATCAAAATATTAGCTTTAGTCTACTCTCATTATGGTACATTCTTTATCCAGCGTAGTTTTCTGAATGTCTTCCAGATTAAAGGTAGCAAATTGGTTTCATTGACTTCCGTCATTTTCCTGTGTGATAAAACATAGAAAGTTTCCTATATACGATTTTTCTATCTATAGACAATAAGTTTTCTTGTATTTTTATGTTTTATTTCAAGGAATTTAGAATGTGGTATTACAATAGCAGAGAATCTGCATGCTTTTTAGTAGAAATACCGGCTTAGTTTAATCATTTTTAAGTTCACTTTCAGCAACTTCGCTTTTTTTTTTCTTTCAAGAAATCGTAACAGTTCGAAAAATTGCAATTATTTTACTTCATATTTATTTTTTTGTTTTACTTCTTTCAGCTTTGTCCTTTTTTTTTTCTGTCTTGTCAATCCCATATCTGATTTGTTTCAATGATGATATTCTGCTTTGTTTAAATCCCTTTATATCTTAACGAATTTTTGGTTTTTTTCGAATATTTGAATCTCAAATTGAGTCGTTAAAAGAACAAAAAAATAATTAAACAGCGCAGTGTAAATAAATAATGATATTTATTTTTTCTTTATTTTTCTTTATTCTATTAATTAATATAACTTTAATAATTGACAGTGAGATATCTTTTCTATGTCGCCTTCCTTTCTAGTCAAGTATTCTCGATGCTAAAACACCAAGAAAAAAGTTATTCGGTCTTCTCTTTTCATTGAGATATTTTGGTGTACGTTTTTATTTTGTTGTGTTCTTTTGATATCTCATACCTAATAAATTATTATATTTTTTTCTCTTCATGTTAAATAAGTGCATGTGTATATCAATCTTCTTTTTCTTTTTCTTATCTCAGATTTAAATTTTTATATATATTTTTCTTTTTGTCTTTTGTTAAAAAAAGCTGCTGTTGAATGAATAATAAAAACTAATTGTTGCTCACTTTGATATGATGAAAATCAAAACAAATCAATTTACGACTGTTGATCAATGGTAATAAAATCACAAAGTATATTTTATTTATCACATTATTGTTAACTGATATTAGATATGTTGTGTTTCAAAATGAATGAATGAATGAACTATCATCTGATTCTTAGATAAAAGAGAGGCTATCATACTATTCTATCATTAAGGTATCTATTTATTTACTTAAAAAGTGTATAAAACTAAGAATGAAACTTATAAAATATCTTACCTTGTTGAAATCGAGATATACTCAACTATCAGATTTGTTTTAAGATAATGGGATTATTTTTCTTAAAAGACATTTGTATCATTGGAGATGTTATGAGCAGAGTTGCCAGAACCAGGTTTAGGTCAGAAAAGCGGAATTTTTCACAGCAGAATTTCAACAACACTTAATAGTTGAGATTTTCTGACCGAGTTGGCTTCCTTAAAGATTTAGTATTTCACTATTTTTCATACTCCCTTTCAGCAGCATTTGCGACACCCTAATGTTTTTCTGTTACCGCTCATTTCCAGGGCATATTTCTGATTTAGTTACTAAAACAATGCACATCTGTTTTTTAAAGTTGCATTGTTTTGACAGATCATTCAGCCGCCGAAGGCGTCAAACATTTTATGAGAAAATGTAAAAATCTTCATTGCGGGAAAAAGTACAAAAACAACAAATTCTTGCAAAGCGGACACTTTGCAGAAAAAACTACAGAAAGCGGACCATCTGGCAACTCTGGTTACCAGTCTATTTTATATCGTTTTCAAACTCTCTATCGTGAACCACTGAAGTCTGATTAGCTGAAAGTTTTTTGAGTTGTTAGAAGTGCACACTACACATTTCTCTATAATTATAAGAGACATTATTAGAATAAATACAGAATGAGAATAAAAGAGTGTTCAGAACTCTACAATATCTCATCAAAAATGTTTACTCTTCAGCATATTGAACGAAAAATATTGTCTCTTTCTTCTCTCGAATTATGTACTTTTCCTACATTTTCAAAAAACTCTCGCCTACACGCATAATATCCCTATATGCATTCTGACAATATATCTTTTTCTAATATGAAGACCGATACATAATGGAAAAGCTGATGCAACAACATATTTTTTTTTTTGCATACTTACAAATACAATTGATTAGAAGAAGATAGACTCAGTGTATTTTTAATGTTTATTTTTGTTGTCATATGTGTGTGTTCGCTTGAGAAAGTCACTAAAAAGAAATAATATTCATTCATTTTGAGTTGTTTACTTGCGCAGATCATCATCATCTCGTGTATGTATTTATCTATATTTATACATCTACGTGAAGTATCAACAGGGTGTAATTGAATCAGATAATTCTAGTCTATGCTGATAGTTTCAGCAGCGATATTCAAACTTATTAGAATATTTGAGTATGATATAGTCTTTCACTAATTGATGAAGATTATGTTTTACTAAATTATTGGTTTTTTTGAATGTACATATTATGTTTTTCTTTATGATATACTCATTCATTCAATCGAATACTTATGAGCTTTTGTATGACTGACCTTCAGATTGTGAACGTACCGGTACAGCTTTCAGAACACAACCATCATTCATTGAAAAGTTCAAATATTACTCTTAAGCAATATTAAGTAGTATAACGGAATATTATCAACTTAAATATCATCAACTGATGTTATTGTGATGAGTGGTATTTTGTTTATATTTGTTGACTGATTTGTTTCAACGAGTATGTCGGGTGTCGGTCCAAATTTTAATATTTCATTAAGACTATTATAAGATAATTTTTCATTCATTAAAAATTTTACATCAAAACTTTTTTGTCGTCGTGTTGAATACGATGGTATAATTGTTGAAAATCGACGTTTTGGACTATTTGGTACACTTGATGATGATAATAATCTTGCAGATGAACGCATCTGAATAGGTTTTTCCAAATCTAATAGTTCTAATTGTGATTCATGTTTTATTTCTTCGCGTGATAATTGTTTTAAACATTTTGTAACATTGGCAACACGTTTTGATTCCGCTATTTGAAATTTTGTTTCTGATGGCTTTTGTATTGTATTATAATAACATGACCAATAATAATCACGTAATTTTTTATTTGACAACGATGCTAAAAACATAAAAATCAGTTGATATACAGTTATAATAGTTATGACAGAGGTTAGATTAGAATTCAGACTAAATTGGAATTTTACCCTAGACTTTTCTAGTAAATTTCTCAATTCTAACACGGTTTAGTCAAGTACAAAATTTTACTCATATTCAAGCACTATACAATGTCAAAAACACACTGCATTTAGGTATGCACCAGTTAAAAACTGTTGTTTGAGCTTCTACGAAAACTGGTATAAATCGCTTATAAAAGACTTCTAAGAGTCGTGGAACGTCTTATTTTGTAGAGAAATGTTTGAACTATAATCTCGTATAAGTAGAAAATTTTCGAAGTTATCTATGGTACAAAAATGAGCATCCTAAAATGCACAAAATTCAAAGAAAAAAACTGTTTGAACAGTTTTGTCTAAAACTTTAGTGCATTTTAGAATGCACACACTTTTGTTAGAAATAATTTTAAGTGTTTTTTCACAGCTGAGTTTTCTAGAGCAAACATTTCTCTAGAAAATGAGACGTTCCGCGACTCCGAGTGGTTCTTTATAGGCGATTTATAACAAAATACAATACAACACTAAAAAAAACACGAGAATCGATCCTGAAATCAGCGTGATCACGCTTTCAGAATAACGGAGATAACTAATAAGAATTCTCAGTCTCGAACAAACATTGGTCAAGTAAAACACAGAGGGGATTTATTCTAATGAGGGGAAAATGAAGATTATTTTAAGATATTATACTGGTTTAAATGAAACTTTTCCTTTACTATTCTCCAATGTCTTGACAGTAACGCTATTTCAACAAGTCAAATCTATACTAATAATGAATAACACGCGCAAAACATCAATTATTATCTATAATAATTCTCATTTCAAAATGTTCCATGTGCAATTAGCTCCAACTAATGTTAAATGTTATTCGTCGATATTAAACTATTTAAACAAATATAACGCTTTATCAGTAGTACAATAAAACTTAAAATAATGAGAAATAATGTATAAAATTCATAAATATATCATTCTAAATTTGTTCAGTTCAAATTGGAATTTCAATCTGATCTGAATTTTAGTCTTGTCTAAAACACTCACATAAAATCTGTGTTTGTTGTTCGTATTCAACACTTCGTTTATAAATACTGAGATGCATCAGTGAATAATATTCATCATATCGATATTCACGCTTCAGGTTTAATATTAACATACAAAAAATGGATATTGAATAGAACAAAATTGTACAAACTGTATAAATAACTGCGCCTCGATGATCGTACACATCGAAGTCATCAGTAGAATTGACCAATGTACTACTATTCATAAAAATTAAACTGTTCGACATTCTTAACTATCAAAATTAGTGTAATATTCTTATAGACCTAACAGTCGATTTTAATGTTTTTCTTCTTTTTTTTTTTGCTATATAGTTTTACGGAATGTAAATTATGAACAATAGCAACTATTTACTAAAAGAAAAAAACAAAACCTTTATTTAGTTCTGATTTAGTGTAGGTTTTTTCTATGAGAATATTATTTTTGTTCTATTCATCTATTCAAAGGTAAAATGATCAAATGCATTATGTTTCTCATAAAACATTTTATTGAAATTGAGAGTAAGAAATTTGATATTTTGATACATTTAGTAATAGAGAAGTAGTAAGAAGGAGAAAGCTAATAAATAATTTCTTTTTTTTTAATAGTAAGAACAAATTTATCGGATAAGTCTATGATAACAAACTATCTAAATTAAAAACAACTGTCCATTTAGCTTCTAGATCAGTTACATCATATTTCTGTTGGATGTTAAAATAATTATTCATGGACCTTTTTTTTTTTTGTTCTTTACACTTGTGGTAGTTTTCTTGTTGATAAATTATTAAATTTTTAGTCTTAATACATCTTGAATATGCCTGCAAGTTTTTTGCATAGAAATAATTCATTTATACTTAATTTTGATAAATATAAACCTTCAATAAGCAAAGGACAAAACACTTTGAGAAATGAACCAGAGTAAATATCCATCCGTCTCAATATTTTTTTATTCTTCACAGTTTATACCCCAAATTATGTTAAAAAAAGATTTTCTGTACAATTCTCTAAAAAAATAGTTCATTGATAAAACTTTTACAAAGTGTTAAAGTTAAAATTATACGAATAATAGTACAAAGCTCCGATATGGCTAGCTTTCAATATTTTTGGGAGTGTTTTGTAGATTTTAGTCAACTTGAAAAGGCGCACATTGTGTCCTCGTTTCAAAAACAAATTCGCCAGGTTTCTACTATTTTTATCAGAATCTACTCAAAAAATATTTCTGTTCACTTCAATTTAAAATGGACAATATTTTATATCTATTATTATTATAAAAATGAAGCTGATTTAATTTGCGGTCTTCGATAACTGCAATTTATCCAATCCCATGCTCGTACGCATCTTCTATCGAAGTTTTATCAACCGAAATCAATTCAGATAAACTGGGGAAGTAAATTAGCCATTCATCATCATTCGATACGGCAGTCATACTTGCTATATAAACATCAGCAATCTTGGCGCCATGAAGCCCCGATTTGTTTTGTTCATGTAATACCAACCAAATATGATGAAATGATGATTTTTTTACTACTGATAGTACATATATAGTGCTAATGATCTGTTATTATTTCACCTGCATATCTCACCATACAGGAGGCTTGTCAAAAGATGTTTTGTCATCGTTTTGTTAAACATGTTTTACACCCAGTATGTCACCCTACACTAGGTTTTCTGCGAAATTTGAATCAGTATGAATTATCAATAACAAAGTTTCAGTATCGGATAAGGTTAGTTGACCAAAAAATAGAACTTATTTTATTGTTTATTTACGAATAGGATGTTTGTCTAAATTCATGTTACATAGAGCCGAGACAACTTGCGCAATCTTAGTTATTTTACAAAAATCATCAACAGCTCCTCTGTAAATGCCGCCGAGAATAGCATAGGTTTTCAGACGCTGATTGATATTTTCAATAGCCCCTCTTGCACTATTAATATCTCGATTAAAATCTTTGTCTTCAGCTGTAAGTTGCGTATTCAGTGCAAAGCATGTTTAACAAAATGATGACAAAACATCTCTTGACAAGCCTCCTGTGTGGTGAGATATACAGGTGAGATAATAACAGATCATTAGCACTATATACGTACTATCAGTAGTAAAAAGATCATCATTTCATCATATTTGGTTGGCGTTACATGAACAAAACAAATCGGGGCTTCATGGTGGTTGGCCACGCCCCTTGGTAGATATTATTATCTGCATGCACAATAAATCTCGTACTTCAAATAGACCTTTTTTAACCATTCAATGACACGATTTCAATTACCCATCATATCAAAATAACATTCTCATTTTTCCATCGATTCTTTCGAGTCCAGCTTGAGGTATTTCACAGTTCGATATTTTCTATATTATAAAACAAAAGTTTATCCTTGAAACATGAGCAATAGTAACAACCTGTCCCAGGTTTTGGAATTTGTCTAATCGGTCTTGATGTCAAAGTTGTTGCATTTCATGTATATGCACGACTTTCTTTCGCTCAAATGAAGAATTGATTGAAAAATGAACATCAGCACATACTACAAATATTTTCTTCTCACGAACATGTGAGGCCTTTAGTTTGCTTCTCGCACTGTTAGTCTTTTTACATATTTTGTAATTGATGCTTTTGTCTCACATTTGACTAGACGTTTATTATAAAGAGCGATTTATTGTCAAAATAATTATAAAAGATAGAAACACAAAAATGCTAGTTTGGACGTAGGCGCTCTTCTCTAGTTTAAAATCTCGTTGATCTCCTAATTCATCTCCTCGATCTGCAACCACATTGAAAGAATTGATCGACATCTGCGAAAAATTCTAACAAGGCAATCCTTTCGGATATATGTTACGAGAGTATGAGCGTGATCGCGATATCCAACACGCATCTTATGATAGTACGATCGACTATGTTGTCTGTAGAAAATTCTAAATAAGACACTTTGTATTGAAGATATCGACACTCTCTATGTACTGGGATTTTTCATGGAATACATCAGTAAACAACTTGAACAACCGCATGAAATATATGGAAAACCTCTTTCTGATCTCATTCTACAGCTATATCAAGCTTAGTTAATGTCATCGGCCGAAATAAAAATGGTAGAGAAGTGTCAAGAGAATTCATTTCATTGAACAGATTTCTTTCTACGAGTACAAATAAAAACGTTTCGATGTCATTCATTCAACTTATGCCAATGGTGGATACTCATGGACATGTTTTATTTGAAACAATCGTTGATACTCGATCGACAACATGTTCGTTTGCTGATATTAGTCAAGGTTAAGTTACTTCGCCTTTGAACAAGAAATTCTGTTCGATATTTCGACTGTTTTTTATTTAGAAAATGTGACGTTCGATCTCATCAGGAAACTATAGACTATGAAAGCGATGATTTGCAACAAAGACAAAGAATTGAAAGATTGTTTGATCACATGAAACGAGACATTGGCAAGTAGAGCCCTGCATTAGATGGACATGTCCATGGTAGGAGTGCATCGGTTATTTTTTCGTATTTTTCAAAAATTCACAATAAATGTTGTATTTTCATAAAAACGATTTGCAACATTTTTCTAAAACGGCAGTTTTGTAGAGAAAACATTTCTCTACAAGATGATATATAATAGTTAATTTTAAAGTTTTCTGTTTCCTTTT